AGACCGTCAGAACATCACGCACACATGGGGCCCGTACCGGGGCAGACCAACAGAACATCACGCACACATGGGGCCCGTACCGGAGCAGACCGTCAGAACATCACGCACACATGGGGCCCGTACCGGGGCAGACCGTCAGAACATCACACACACATGGGGCCCGTACCGGGGCAGACCAACAGAACATCACACACACATGGGGCCCGTACCGGGGCAGACCAACAGAACATCACGCACAGCACAATCCTACAAACAGGTGCCCTGCAGGCTTCACACGTCCGGACCCTTTCCTATGGCAGCGAAGCTGGGAGAAACGCTCTGCATGACCCTGATGGAACAGCTAACCTCCAAGACGCTGAAGGTCGCCCCAGAATTTGGCTGCCCTCCCTAAAACATCTGCTCCCTCCTCCGCACGGCAGTGTGGCCAGCAGGCTCAGCACGGGAGCCCTTTCCCTGTCCTGGCGCACTGACCCTGCCATTTATAAATCAACCCAGCACTTGGGCAACAGCGCCTCCCAGCTGTGCTGGCCTGGTGACCCACCGCAGTGAGGACCGCCTCCATCCCGTCATCAGATCACAGCCTGTTGGGGAGGGGGGAGGCAGTATTCCCACAAAGCAGCAGCTCTTGCATCGCTGACAGAAGCATCTGTCATCCCTCCCACCCAACCCGGCCCGGCCTCACCCCACCCCCGGAGGCTCACCTGCCGCCTGTGGCCTCGCCGCTGCCTCTCGGTGCAGGATCTGCCGCAGATCTCGCAAGAAACTCTCGCTGAGTTCCTGTGCCGCGGCCTGCTGCCTCTTGGCCTTCAGGGGGAGAGAGCAAGCACAAATCAGTAGGACGGCTGGTGGGTGGAGCCCCTGCTGTTATGCGCACCAGCCAGCAGGGGGCAGCACTGCATGGCACTGTCTCCATAACACAGGCAACACAAACAACTTCACATAAAAAAAAACACAACTGTAATTCAAACACACATAACACTCATAAAGGTTTCCCTTATAATGCAAATTTCTCTCGCAGTATTACAATGCAGGTTTCCCTCGCAGTATTACAATGCAAGTTTCCCTCGCATTATTATAAGGCAGGTTTCCCTCGCAGTATTATAAGGCAGGTTTCTCTCGCAGTATTACAATGCAGGTTTCCCTCGCAGTATTACAATGCAAGTTTCCCTCGCAGTATTACAATGCAGGTTTCCCTCGCATTATTATAAGGCAGGTTTCCCTCGCAGTATTATAAGGCAGGCTTC